CCCCAAAACCCCAAAACCCCAAAACCCCAAAACCCCTAAATTCTTGAAAATATTGAACAATACATTAAATTAACGACAAAATTATGGATTGCTTTAAACTTGCTGAAAAATTTGCAGAAGGCTCCTATGGAGCGGTCTACTTCTGATCTCTGGACAGAAGGAAGAGATCAGTAAAGGAACTCCCCAGAGACACTTTGCAAGAAATTCTTGAGTGTAAGAACCTTGTGTGTAAGAAAATCACTCCTGATGAAGATGATGATGAGGCTGGAGATTACATTCAGCAGGAGATTGATATTATGAAGAAGGTTAATCATAAAAACATCCTAAAGTTGTTCCACTCCTTTAAGGAAGATAAAACATCATACCTAGTCCTTAAGCTGTGAAACGGAGGGTGCCTCACAGATCTAAGAAAATAAGAGAGAATCTATATTCAACGAGAAGTTTGTCAGGCAGATTGCCTTTGAGATTGCTGAAGGTCTCTGATACCTAAATGACAATAATATTATGCATAGGGATATGAAGCTAGACAATATTTTTATCAATTTTCCTGGGTACAAGAAGAAAGGAATAGTCCCTGACTCCTTTATTGACAAGTTTGATCCCCAAAATGACCCAATTGAGATAATTATTGGAGATTTAGGGCTTGCTAAAGAAAATAATAAACTTATGAAAAAGGGAACTATATGTGGAACCCCAGATACTATGGCACCAGAGATTGTTAGAATGGACGAATATGATGGCAAATGTGATATTTGGTCATTTGGAGCTATTGTTTATGAGCTACTTTATGGGTTTTCTCCTTTTAAAGGGAAAACTTGGAAGGAAATAATCAACCCTGCCAATTTTTCGAAACTAAGGATTCCTAAAAATATTCCTTATTCTTTAAATTCAAAGGCATTGCTAAATGATACATTGAAACTCGACCCTAAGGAAAGGATTACTTATCATGAGTTACTAAAGCATCCCTTTTTCACTGAAGAAATTAAATGTGATTTCCAATACCCAACTCCAAAGAAAGGGCGGCCTTCCAGTTTAAATGACCTTGACGATAACAACTCGATTCTATTTACACCAGGGAGTAGTGTTCCATACAATAAGTATTCTCAAAGAGTAAAGAGCATATTAGGTAAGCATGCTCGAAAGTTGAGAAACTATCAGAAAGCCAAATTCTTATATTTTCAGGGATTTTTGAAAAGAGTTTGATATTTTTCCATGCAGACGTTTAAACTTAGAGTGTTAGTATTAAAACTCTTGGGCTAAATTCCATCTATCCTAATCTTAGAGTTAATTATTTAGATCTTGGCATTCTATCAATCCAACAAGAAGTTTAATAAAGTAATTTAGAAATAAACTCAAAGAAAGTCAAGAAAGATTATTCTGGAAAAGAGATATTTAAAAAGAAAAGTAGAGCAAGACAGAATCAGATAGAGATAGTTAAGGATAACGCAAGCTCTGAGAGAGGTTTTTCTAGCCTAGACTCCTCTCTTCTCAGCAATTCTGTGGTCGGACTTGGTATCAATAACTTAGAAGTTCCTGCTAGTTTTATGAAAGGAGTGCATATCTCTGAAGATGAGGTCTTACCTAACTCCTTTGTAGAGAAATTTGAAGGAATTAATACAATAAAATAAAGCAGATAGAAAAGAACTTGAAAAGGCCATTGAGGAAGGAATGGACTCTCAGAAAATTAAGACTATCAAAGCTGCAGCACTACTTAAATAAGATCAAAGTTCCTGTATTTTCACAAGAGAATAGTCTGAATAAGAACAGTCTGGGATCTTTGGACAAGTCTAGCAGTAGTATTTCTGGGTTTTCTAACCTGCAAGATAAGTTAAAGGATTCCTTCCGGATGAGCAGCATGAGTAGTCTTCAACCAATCAGTGAGACTGATGATGAAAACCAAACCTCCCGCCTAGAAGGAGAAAAATATCATGAATATCACATGAGGAAAGCTTTGCAAGAATTTGAAGGTCAAACCGTAAAAAGACCAAAACATTCTGATGAAGCTGAAGGCGAAGACTACTGAGAAGATCAAGGAGAGGATGATTACGAGAGCTATGGCGAGAATGATGGAGAAGACCAAGGAGAAGATTTTGATGAAGAAAACCAAGAAGAAGATTTTGATGAAGACTGTGGAGAAGAGAATGATTAAGAATATAATCTGAAATAACCCTTTAAAATTAGAAAAATAGACCTAAGTTACCAAGCTCGTTTATTGTTCTAAATAGATTTTCTTTGGTGTTTTGCGAAAAAATCTGTCCTTTTCAATGTTTATTACAATAATTGGGGTTTTGGGGTTTTGGGGTTTTGGGG